TCTTATTTTTTCAAATGATATTTTTACCTCCTCATATATATATATATATATATATATATATATATATATATATATATATATATATATATATATATGATTATTTTATTCTTATTGTTTAAAATTGATCTCTTTAATTTGTCATTTCTAATAAAAATTCTCATAAAATTAATTTTTTATTTTTATATAATTTTATTTGTTAACAAATATAATTTATTTTTCTCTCGTGTATAGATTTTCAAATAATTGTTTTTAAAAATAAATTAAATAATAGAATTCATATATTTTATTTGCTTATTTTGGATATAATCAAATTTTATCAGAACAAAATTTTTTAGTTTTTTTTTTTTATCGTGCTATGTTAGCTTTAATATATTTCTTATAACTTAATGTTTTTTTTTGAAAAAATATTTTTCGATTTATACTTGCACATTCTAATCTACTAAATATAATCATGATCTATAAAAAAATATTGAGATGATTAGTTTTATTAAAAAATAACTATACATCTACATAAATAATACCAATCATTTGCTATTATTTTTTTAATATTCTAAAATTAATATTTTTAAATAAAATAATTAAAATAATATTTTAGAAGAACTACATAATAATTCAAATATAATACTATTATTAATTGTTTTTTGTAAATATATATATATAATGTACAAATTTTAAAAAAGTTAAAAAAAATTCGTTAGTTAATTTTTATATAAGTTTTTATATTGATTAATGTTTTATTTTTTTGATGCAATCTTAGGAAAAAAATATTAAGAAATTTTTTAAATTTTAAATTTATATTATTACTGATTTTGATTTAAAAATGAATGCATAACGAAGAATGAATCATGTGTTTTTAACAAAAAAAATTATGAAAACCATAAAGAAGAATAAATAAATACAAATTTTTTATTAAGAAAAATACTAAATTAGGTGAAATTTTATCTTTTATTTTTAATTTAATATGTTTTAATTGATGGACATTATAGTGCAAGTTATTAAACTTAAATAAATATTTTTAGTTCGGCTTACTACATAGCTAGAAAGCGGACTAGTTTCAGCCAAGACAAAAGAGGTGAGGTCCTAATATAAATCTGATTTTTATTTTTCAACAAATAAAGTAATTTTAAAGATTGCATATAAAATATTTTACATTAATCAATTTTCCTATTAAATATTTTATGCAAAACAAATACTCTTTAATAGAATTTTGCTAGATATATCATCTTAAACTCTTCCATTTAGAAACTCTATAACGAATGGACCTTTTGTGACATTAGCAACAAAAAAAAAAATGCTAAAGTTCTGTAGCAAATGCTATTGCTTCTCATTTAAAATCATTGTACATTCTACTATTTCAGTTTTAAAAATTTCCAAGAATTAACATGTGAAGTGTGCATTTATTGTTGCTCTAAGTATGTTCTTGATTTTTTCTTTATAATTTTTTTCTTTCTTTTTTATATGTTATGTAATTGCTTTGTCTTTGACGCAAACTTTTAAATCATTATCCGTACTATGAGCTATATTGTTTTTTTTTTTTTAATTAATAGTATGTTAAGAGACTTAATATATATATATATGTGTGTGTGTGTGTGTGTGTGTGTGTTCTTTACAAGTTCAATAACTATGTTTATCTAGGGAAGAAGTGTTTTGGGGCTTATTTTTTTATGAATCCGTTCCTCTACTTGAACCTTAAGTGTTATGAAACAATTGAATTTGTGTATATTGTTTGTTCTTTGCTTACGTTTTATCGAAGTATTATACCTTCTTCTTGTTTTTTTGTTTTTTTTTTTTGCCAAGCTAAAAATTCCACATTTTGCTCTTTTTTATGAGTCATCTTGCCTTTTGATTTAAGTAATATACTTCGACATTTTATGGAAAAATTGATTTGTTATTTTTCTCCTTCCCTTCTCATTTTTCTTGATTTAGGCATGCTGCAACTGTGCTTGGACATAGGTTGTGAGTTTTGTATAAGCTTTTTATTGATTTTTTAAAGATTATGGACTGAGATTTTTTTCTTTATTGGATTGTTGCTTGGTGGCCTTATCTTTTTATTTATGATTTTTTTCATCGATTCTATTGGTTTTTCTCCATGTCTCACCTCAATTTTTTTCTATTTTCGGATTATATAAGGATTTAAGATTACTCGGGTGTTGTTAGATTTTGTGTCAAATTTTCCTCCATTCTATTAATTTGGATAAAAAAAATGAGTATTTATTTGTATATTTTTGGATCTGTCTCGCCTAGTTTATTTATTTATTTATAATTTTATGTCTTACAAACTTAATAAATCTTAAGGTGTTTGCATATTTGTCTCTATTTGTTTATAATTTCAATAATTATGATAACGTTTAGAAAAAGGCTTTTTTTTAGTTGATACTAGCTTTTTTGCCCGTGCTATATCTGCGAATTGGATAAAATATATAAAATCATTTAGAAGTTATCTAAATCTATTTTTCAAAAGAAAAAATAATCATGTTCTAAAAATTTATTTCAAAATCCACATATATAGAAAATTAAATCAAAACTCGTCGAGTAAATATAAATAATAATTTTTTTTAAAAATGATAAATTAAAGTAGTAAATTTTAAATAATAAAAATAATTAACAAAAAAAAAAACTAAAACAAAATGGGACACCCAAGATTAAGGAACAGTGATTGCATTTTTTTTTTTTATAAAAACAATTAACCAAAAATACTATATATAAAAAAAGAAAAAAAGTAATTTTTCAAAATCTTAACACCCAAAAAGGCTTTTTTTTAGTTGATACTAGGTTTTTTTCTCGTGCTACACTCGCGAGTTGGATAAAATATACAAAATCGTTTACAAGTTATCTAAATCTATTTTTCAAAAGAAAAAATAATCATTTTCTAAAAATTTATTTGAAAATCCATACATATAAAAATTTAAATAAAAAATTTCAGTAAATATCAATAATAAATTTTTTTTTAAATGACAAATTAAAGTAGTAAATTTTAAATAATAAAAATAATTAACAAAAAAAAACTAAAACAAAATGGGACACCCAAGATTAATGAACGAGTGATTGCATTTTTTTATTAAAAAATAAACAAAAAATACTATAAAAAAAGCAAAAAAAAAAAAAAAAGAGTAATTTTTCAAAATCTTAACACCCAATTAAATAAAAAAGAATATAAATTGATCGAAAAAAGTAAAGGAAAAAAAACCAATGAAAAAAGAAGAAGAAAAGGCATAAGTAGTGCATGAGTTAAGGGATTAAAATTTTTAAGGGTCAAAATGAAATAACTTAATTTTTTTTTAAAAAAACTAAACTATAGTAATGAACAGTCACTATTCATTACTGTTTAAATGGTCGTTTTGCTTTAGTTATGTAGTAATTTTTTGTATAGAGGAGGTGATATTTTGTAGTGTAACCAATTGTTAGTTTAAGTAGTATTTTGTACTACACTGCTTATTAATTTTATTTTTATGTTTACAAGGTTCCAAATGGCTCTTTTTGTGACATAGAAAGGATAGCAAAAGAGATGGAGGATAGGTTTAGAAAGTTATTGTTGTGGTAATATGCAATTATGCTTAATTTATTTTAGTCACATGGTTGAGAATTAGAAATTAAAATGTCATTACGCATTGTTTTTTTTTTTTTTTTTATGCAATCATCTTATTGTTGTGATTTTTTGTTTTTCTTCACGGTTGACAATCTATTTCTCGCTTGGTGGCTTTATTTTGTTGGTTAGGTTGGTAATTAAACTAGCTATAAATTTACAACTTAATAATGTTTCTCTTTGTTTTCAGAATAGTCTTATTGTTTATCAATTTCTCTTTTTTGCTTATCATTGATGGACGGTCCATTTGTAAATTAGTTTTTTAATGGATATTTTAAAAGTTTTATATGACATGTTAGGTTTCATTTTTTGTGATTAGGCATAATGCTTTAGCTGTTCAACGTAAATTAAGCTACCTAGTTTTGTTGCCACCTAGTTGTTTGGAGTTTTAAATATTTTATTAACTTGGAGTGTTGGTCTGATATATATATATATATATATATATATATATGCGCAATTAATTTGGCTTAATCAACTTCAAAAGGTTCCATTAAAGGCAATCAAAGCTCTTTCTTTTCTTTTTTTGGTTTGTTCTAAGGTTTATGGATATAAGATTAGCATGGTAAATACAACATTTTACTCTTTTATTTTTTTTCTTTTCTTTTTAAGATGTTAAAATAGTGTTGTAGTGAAAGAACAAAAAAAAAAAAAAAAAAGAAACATTGTGAGGTGATGCTTCAAGATCATTCAATTACATTATTGTGGTTTGTTTTGATGAAGTTTATAGTTAATATTTACGAATCTAAAGGCTGAAGATGATAAAGGTTTAGCTGAGAAATGTATTTTATGCTCACTGTTAATTGATATATATATATATATATATATATATATATAGATGAATGTTAAGTTGGGCGCTGAATAATGTGATCAATGTTTTCTCTGTATTACTGTCAATTGTTTACTGTTTATATTTAAACATTACCTTTTGTGATTGGACAAGTCTCTTGTCTTGTTACAAATCGATTAAAATTGTTTTTAAATTTTAAATTTAAAAAATTAAAAATAGAAGTTTATTTGAGTGAAAAATTTTGTCTTAATGAAAAATTAAAATCGATAACTTTTAAACTTATGCTACTTTTTATTTATTTATTTTTATTAAAATCAATAAATTAAGAATCCGAGTGATGATGAATGGAATTGTGGTATGGAAAACTTTCAACATTTATTAATAATTTTTTTTACTCTATATTGGATGCTATTTATTTATAATCTTTAATTTACATTTTTTAATATATATATATATATATATTTTTTTTTTGGCGTTAGACAGTGCAGGTAACCGTGAGTTGCCACTTCACAATTACATATCCCATAATCGTACCCAAGCCAGTGGAGTGGAACGAAATCTGTTATTATATTTTTTCCCCACTCTTAAAACCCCCCATCTTCCTCCTTTGTTAGAAAATAAAAGAAAGAAATGCTATCCACACTGCAGCAGCCTCCTCGCTCTCTTTCTCGTATCCCTCTTCACCTCTCTTCTATTAAACCCCTCCGCTCTTTCTTCACCGTTGGCTCTGCCTCTGTCTCTGCTTCTGCTTCACAAGACCAATCATCCCCTCCGTCATCTCAAATACTGACCGTCCGCCACTCCCTCCTCTCCCGCCAAATCACTGCCACCCAACTAGCTGAGTCCTACCTTTCCCGGCTTTCCCTCACCGAGCCCCACCTCCACTCCTTCCTCCACATCTCCGATACCCTCTTAAGAGATGCCCAGCTAATCGACCGCAAGATTGAAACAGGAGAGGATGTCGGCCCCCTTGCTGGGGTCTTTGTTGGGGTCAAGGACAATATCTGTACGGATGACATGCCTTCTACTGGTGGCTCCCGCATCCTGGAGAACTACAAGGCACCGTATGATGCAACAGCGGTTAGGAGAGTGAAGGAGAAACATGGGATTTTAATTGGCAAGACTAATTTGGACGAGTTTGGCATGGGAAGTACCACTGAAGCTTCTTCTTTCCAGGTCTTGTTCTTCTTCTTCTTCTTTTCTTCGCTTTTTGACTTCTGGGCTCGAACAATCAAACAAACAAACACTTGACAGGCATTTGGCAGTTTCTTCTGTTCATTTTCTAACAGGTGACTGCAAACCCGTGGGACTTGTCTCGAGTGCCTGGTGGATCGTCAGGTGGGTCGGCTGCAGCTGTATCTGCTCGGCAATGCATGGTGTCACTTGGTAGTGATACTGGTGGAAGTGTGAGGCAGCCAGCATCTTTTTGTGGTGTTGTTGGATTGAAGCCAACATATGGGCGTGTCTCCAGATTTGGACTTATGGCTTATGCATCATCACTTGATGTTATTGGATGCTTTGGTACTTCAGTTGCTGATACTGGCATCCTCCTTCACGCAATTTCTGGTCATGATAGATTTGATGCCACTAGTAGTAACAGAGTAAGAATTCTTCTATGATATCTGTTAAGGTCGATCAATTCTCTTTATTTCTTGCTTTGAGCAACCGTGGTTTTGTATCATAAATTTACTAGCTGACGAAGCTTCAGATTCTGATGCTTGTGTAAAAGGAAATAACCGAATTTTCATGCATTGAGGGAAACGTGGACTTTTTCTGTTATACATATTTGGTCCAGATACGGGACTGTTAGAATTAATGTAGTTACTTGTACTTGAAAGTGTCACCATCACTTTTATAAGCAAGCATGTTGATCAATGCAACAGGCAGTTTGCTACTGTACTTGTTACTAAAAGAACCAATATGAAATTAAGTTCTCCTAGATTGCAATGTGTATGGCGTTGTTGTGTTTCTTCTCGGACCATCTTCATTGAATTTTTTGAGTTTGCATATCTTTCATTCTGGTTCTACAACAAAGTAGTTTGATTTTTCGGTCAGAATAGTCAACACTATTTCACCAATCAAAGAGGGGGTGGGGTGAGTGCTTGTGAGGCGAACTTTTTCATACCTTCGTTTTTGGTCTGATTTACGTAAAATAATCTCTTCTATTCTCATGGAATGCTAATAACTCATCTAAAAAATAAAATAAAAAATAAAAAATAAAAAATGTTAGTATCTATCCTGAAGCAATCAAAGTGAGAAAGGAAAGCATATTTCTGAAACCTATACAGTTTAGCTAGAGTAACAGCTGAAGTCCTTAAACAATTAGGAGGGGTCCCAACTCCAATTAAGCATTTCGTATCGATTTCCTATATTTTCTACATTATCATTCTATAGGTTTTGAAAGCCCCGTTTGTTTTTATTTTCTTTTCTTGTATTCTCGTTTTGGAGGATGTCTTATCCTTCATGTCATTATCTTCTTTATTGCACTGTTCTTTATCATAATAATTTCACTTTTCAGGAGGTTCCTGATTTCACATCTCAGTTCAGTTCTATAAATCTCATGGAATCTAAACCATTGAAGGGGTTGAAGGTTGGTCTTATCCGTGAAACTCTTGAAGATGGTGTGGATAACGGAGTAAAATCTGCAATTAGTGGTGCTGCTTCACATCTTGAAGAATTAGGATGTACTGTGACAGAGGTCTAACTTATAACCTTTACTCAGTTGACATGCGTTTTTTCGTTTAACAGCTTTGCTTAATAATTTCAGTTTTCATATTTCTTGAATTGATTTGCAGGTCTCATTGCCATCTTTCTCCCTTGGTTTACCAGCCTATTATATTCTCGCTTCATCAGAATCATCTTCCAACTTATCACGTTATGATGGGGTCAGGTGATTTTCTGACAATCAATTCTCATTTAATATATATATATATTTTGCCTTTTGGTATGTGCATTAGACATATAAATGGTTCAATACCCACCCTTTTTTTCTCAAGGCTTTGTTGACAGAATTATACATGTTGTATGGTTATATGTAAATTTGTGTGTGTGAGAGAGATTTTGGTGGCTCATTTTCAAGTTCAGCAGTTCCTGTTTAGAAAGCAGATGTAGTAAACATTTGAAATTAAGTTAAGGCATACAGGGCTACAAGTTGGGAGTTTGTTTCATATGTTTGAGTCGTATTCCTTTTTTCTTTGTATAAAACAAAGAAGACCATAGTTGGTCTATAGACAAGTTGTCTTGGTTTATTTCAAATTTTTACACTGAGTGGCTGTTTTGTAGTTGTTGGTACTATTAATCACCCAATAATTTTTTTTTTTTGTGAAAGAAACTCAATTTTCCTTTTATCAGGGTTTTGCCTGTTGCATATTTATAATGTCTAGATATATAGACAAGCCATCATTCTTCTACTTTTGAATCTAGGTATGGGAACCAAATTTTTGCTGAATCATTGAATTCTCTTCATGGTGATTCTCGTTCAAAAGGATTTGGTCCTGAGGTATGTAACATCCCAACAGCCATTATAAAGAAATGGTCTGTCCTTTTTCTTTTTAAAAAATAAAAATGGTAGATTTGAAATGAAATATTATTTGAGATGTTGAAAGGTGTTATCACCAGTTCCCATATAATTGACTGCTTGCGGCTGTTGTTATTGCTCCAACAGAAAGTACAAATTAGCAATGTACCAGGGAAGAGTCTTGAAGTAATATTTCTTGCATATTTTCAGGTCCAAATGAGAATCTTGATGGGAACATATGCCCTCTCAGCTGGTTATTACGATGCATACTACAAGCGTGCCCAACAGGTAAATAGTTTTTTTAAATAAAGTACTCAGTCTTTACTGGCTGAAGATGGATCCTCATCTTCTTGTTCTTAATGGTTACAGGTTCATGATTTTAAGAGAATCTGAACTCTTGACATAAAAAATTCCTATCAAACCCTGTTATTTTAATAGCTTTTGAGGTCTTCAAGAAGAAATTCATGATTGTAATAGCGTTTAGGTGAGGACCTTAGTTCGGAAAAGCTTCAAGGAAGCATTAGATGACAATGACATCCTAATTTCTCCCGTGGCTCCATCTGCAGCTTATAAGATTGGTATGTTGTCTACATCCTTTTAGCTTTGGCAAGCATGTTATTCACACCTTTATCTTCGCTTTGGTAATGAGTTCATTTTTAAAAGTAATGACAACACTGCTTTCAATATTTACAGGTGAAAAGAAAAACGATCCTTTGGCAATGTATGCAGGCGACATTATGACTGTGAGCATTTCTCAGCTGCCTTATAGTTTAACTTGCCCATTCACATCATCTCCCTGCCAGGCTTCCTTGTTTTGAAATGGTAGAGAGAGGGAGATGGAGGGAGATCATGCTTGAAGTTAAAAATTAAAAGACATGGTTTGTGAGGGCTGCAGTTCTAGACCTTTCTTTCATTGCTGTTTATGACCTTAACAATTGGTATACTTTTGTTGTTTGGGAGAATGATAAAGATAAAGGGATTTAGGTCAGGGTTAAATACACCCCGTGGTCCTTTACGACAATAATGTTCACGTTAATCTTTCTACTCAGGTATAATATATAACAAAACTTGTATTATTAGACGTTGGAAAAAATCAGCCCTTTCGTCAACTTCTTCTGTCAGATTGATCAAACTTTGTTAGTTGATTAACGTCTGACCAGTCGTGTTATGATACATGTCAACTGAAGGGTAAAAAAATAATTTCTTGTTACTTTTGATTTTTGATTTTTGTTTTCATTTTTTTATCATTTTATAAATAGTAATTATTTATTTTAATTTACTAAAAATTTTCAAAACTGATTTTAAATGGGAAATTACTTTTTCACGCTTTAGTTGACTCGTGTCATCACTTGAGTGGTCAAATGTTTGTCAAATGAGACAGTTTGGTCAATCTGACAGAAGGAGTTAATGGAACGGCTGATTTGTTCCAACATCCAATAGTAAAAGTTTTGTTATGCACTATATCTAGGTAGAGGAGTTAACATGAACATTATTGGATAATATAAGGGCACAGGGAGTATTTAACGCATTTGGGTCAGTACTTGAGTTTTAAGTGCTCTGAAATGGCATTAGAAGATATATGATGTTGGATCTTTATATTTGGAATTGGGGTATGTTTTTTGAAGTGAACATAGGTTGGAATCTGTAGATGCAGGTACTTAGCAGATGAATGTTATGAAAAGGCATGGTTTTTCTCTGCTATATGGATAGCAAGGTTGATTTGTGTATAAACAAAACCTTAAGTAGGAAATGCAATTGAGAGAAAGAGCAGAGGAACTTGGAATCCCAGCATGAGAGTCATGGAAGGTGATGATCAGTAATCCAAAGAGAATTCCAGTCGACAGGACGGTGAGAGTGGTATGGAAGCAAGCACCAGAGAATGTTCTTGATCTGGATATTCTTTAAAAGGACACTTTTAGCTATATATAATAAACAATCTAGAGAGAGAGATTATGGAAATTGGAGGGAGAAGCTATGAAGTCCAGAAATGATCAGCAATCCCCCAAATGACGTAAACAAGGGATATTCTTAGGCAAGAGGAGTGATGTTAGGATCATGCTAGGTGTCTAATATACCAATGGCTATACAGGTGCCTTGTGTCCAAAGTGTCACATGGTTACACACTCAAATTTCACAAGAAATGGTTAAGGCCAGCTTTGGTTGGTCTCAAGGGGTCTTGTTTCAACCTATCATGCCACATTTCACATTATTTCTCATGGTTCCAAGGGTAGTCATGGATCCTGCCATATATCCCTAACCCTTGTGAACCTTTGGCTCCTTTGCATGTAGCATGTTGGTCCTTTGTGAATGATGGCACCTTCAATTGTCCATCCATCATAGATCCAAATTGGACCTTGGTTAATATATATAATAATTCCATAATTTTGAATATGGTATAAATATATATTAGTTTACAATTTGGCCCCTAAAGTAATTATGTTCTTAATTCAAAGGTTAGAGGCTTGTGATGGACTTGTAGCATGGCTAAGCAATATTTTGTAGCTTTATTTTTGTTTGCTTTGCCATAAGTGAACCATGCAGATGTTGGAAACATTTCTACAAGTTGATTATGCTAATTTGCTCTTGTTTGTTCACCAGAAATTGCATTTTGGCTGTGGAAACAATATTCTTGTTTTTAGAACTGGACAGCAGTGAAGTACAAAATGTTGGACATAATGTTCATATTGCAAGTCCTGTGTTTCTCTACGATCATTTTTATCATGTAAACACAAACAGAGGCAAATAATAGTGCTCTTATAAGATGAAATCCTTGTCTTCTAACACAGCTTCTTAATAACTGTGCCAAGAAACTGTTCTTTATAGATTTCTGAAAATTCAAGATATGGTTTATTACAGTTAAAATAGCTTGGGGCCTTAGAAGTGTTATGCCATAACCCTTTTCCAACTTCATTTTTTTCCTTCTATTGGTTCTTTGCAGTAATGACATTTATTTTCTGCAGTCATGCGTACTCTTTTTTTTTTTTTTTGTTTTTTTGGTCTCACATTAAGCAACTATATCTTCGGGTGCAGGTCAATGTTAACTTGGCAGGGGTGCCTGCGTTGGTTTTGCCATGTGGATTTGTTGAGGGAGGGCCTGCAGGACTTCCTGTTGGTCTTCAAATGATTGGTGCAGCATTTGATGAGGTATTAATAACTCGTATTCTTTACAAATTCTACTATGGTGTAGCAGATACAAAGTGCACCTTTTTCTTGTGTCTTTAAAAACTTAACTAAGAGAAATGGGTGGTTATGTAGTGTAGGAAGATATAAGAATAATGAACTATTAGGAAAAGAAAAAGATACTAAGGAGGTGTTAGCTCTAGGCCAGGACCAAATTTGGGATAGTTAGTTCTGTATTTTTCTTACGTCGTTGCACCATTGGTTTTGGAAATGGGATCGAGTTGAGTCAAACCAGGTTTTTGCTTCACCCTCCCCAGCACTAAAGCAAGTCTGATTCTGGTTAGGTTTTTATCAAATCATTTGTGCTTTGCTTTCACTATTTGTTTCCTTAAAGCAAGCTCGAAACACCATTTTTTCTTGTTGTGCATCAATCGGGCTCAACTCTGGTCATCGCTCATCAGAAGCAAACAATCAATTATAGACTAGTTTAGTTTGATGAATGTACGAGATAGGATTGGCATTTTGCTATAAAGCATGTAGAGAAATGGCAAATGCTTGTTTAAGAAGAGCCACAGCAAACCTTTACTATCATTTGTCTTGAATGGTTGTATTTCAAATGTTGAGCAAGAAAGTGATTGATTACTTAAATATACTCTCTTTTTTACAATAAAATGCAGGTCAAGTTGCTCAAAATTGGTCATATATTTGAGCAGACTCTTCAAGGTTGCAGATTTATTCCTCCCTTAGTGGCAGATGATCTTGTATGTTCCCAGCACTAATACACTCTTTGCCTTCGAGGATATGAAAGTCCGAGTGCAAATAGAATTCCTGAATAGCTTCTGAGTAGAAAATAGATTGCTGAGCCTTATGGTTTGACATGATATAGCCTGATACCGATCTTTGCAACTGCATTATTGTGTTGGAGGTCTGGTAGTCATTGTGGGATTGGACTGTTCAAATTGAAATAAAATTTTGTTTCTCCTCAGAACTTTTGTTTTAGACCTCTCACAATCACTTCAAAATATCGCAGTTATGTTCATACAGAGTTCAGGTGAACTGTAAAAGTAAATGTAAAATAAATAAATCTACATTTATGCTCCATCAACTTAGGTTGTTGCTAAGGATGTTTTTAGAGGGTAAATTCAGGACACAGCACAGCAAAGGTGGAAATGGTTCAAGGTAAAAAATGGTACTTGATGCATTTTGATCCCTGTATCAATTTTATTTTTTATTTGTTTTAAGAAACACAAGTGATTTCAAACATAGAATTTCCTGGAGCTTCGGATCTAACATGCATTAGAGTCGAGATGCCTCCGAAAGATAAACCTAGATGTAGTAATCGAAAATTGTCAAGTAAAACTTAGCACGATAAAAAGAAGAATAAATAAATAATAGCATAAAAAAAAACCTGTTATTATTTCAAGTAGAGATTTCTAGATGCTAAAAAAACCGAGCATCTTCCCAGTTCCCTGACATCACATGTGCATGACTATCTTTCGCCGTCGCCTACTTTGGCTTCGTAAACCCCATGCACGCAAACACTCCCATTGCAGTTTTGCTCCAAATGCCACACATTTTGGCACCCAATTTCCAACAAAGCCACCAACATCACAGCATTCATCCCAAGACCCAGCTAAAACCATAGCAACCCAATTATGGAACTGCACTAGTTTACAAGAACTGAACCAAATTTATGCCCATGTCGTACGCTCCCACATTCTTGACTTTTACAGTGCCCCATTTCATTGGAACAACATAATAAGATGCTATACTAGACTAGATGCTCCGAACAAAGCACTGCAAATCTATGCATCCATGTCCCATGCTGGCATCTCCCCTGATAGTTATACGCTTCCGATTGTCTTGAAAGCGGCATGCCAGTGTTTTGCTATGGAGCTTGGTAGGCAGCTTCATTCTATTGCGATAAGGCTTGGCCTTGAGTTGAACGAATATTGTGAGAGTGGTTTCATCAGTTTGTACTCAAAAACTGGAGAATTTGAAAATGCATATAAGGTGTTTGAGGAAAATCCTGGGAGAAAGCTGGGTTCTTGGAATGCTATTATAGGAGGTCTTTGTCAGGGTGGGCGTGCAAAGGAAGTGATTGAGATGTTTATAGAGATGAGGAAGTGCGGGTTCAAGCCTGATGAGGTGACCGTGGTTAGTGTGACATCAGCTTGTGGGAGTTTAGGGGATTTGAACTTGGCCCTTCAACTGCACAAGTATGTTTTTCAGGCCAACATTTTTGAAAAGCCAGATATTTTGATGCTGAATTCACTCATTGACATGTATGGGAAGTGTGGTAGAATGGACTTAGCTTATATGGTATTTTCAAGGATGGGCCAAAGAAATGTGTCATCTTGGACTTCAATGATAGTCGGTTATGCGATGCATGGGCGAGCTGATGAAGCTATTGAATATTTTAGTTGCATGAGAGATGCCGGTGTGAGGCCTAACCATGTGACTTTTATTGGGGTACTAAGTGCATGTGTGCATGGTGGTAAGGTGCAAGAGGGAAGACATTATTTTGATATGATGAAGAATGTTTATGGAATAATGCCCCGATTGCAGCATTATGGGTGCCTGGTGGATCTGATTGGCCGAGCAGGGTTGCTGAAAGAGGCTAGGGAGATTGTTGAGGGGATGCCAATGAAGGCAAATGTGGTAATATGGGGGTGTTTGTTGGGTGCTTGTGAGAAATATGCAAATGTGCAGATGGGAGAGTGGGTGGCAAAGCATTTTCAAGACTTGGAACCTTGGAATGATGGGGTCTATGTGGTTTTATCCAATATATATGCTAGCAGAGGCTTGTGGCTTGAGGTTGAGAAGGTGAGAGTGATCCTGAAGCAGCGAATGCTAGCTAAAATCCCTGGTTATAGTTTGGCTACAACTTCGGATTGAAGTATGCAAGTCTGTTTGGTTCTTTTTGTGTGTCTGCGTGGGTGGGGGTTAAACTCATTCCTACTTTCTTTTCCATACAAACATGACCAATCATTTAAAATTCAACAACATCATTGGGTTGGAAGTGCGTCAAGGATTAAAGAAATAGCTGGGCTGAACCAGTCAATGATCTTATAATGTGTTCAACATGATCTAATAGATAGATTTGTGTACTTGCTTCATATATAGATAAAAAATTCACGGTGATGTATGTCTATTCTATCCTGCAGAAATTTTTGGCAGGTCATCTATGAAAGTGTGATAGTCATGTACATTCCTTAAAGGTTGATGCATTTGTAAAATTCAATTGTTATTTATAGAATCCAAAGCAGATAAACAAGCAAATCTCTGGAGATGACGGAGGGGACGATTTTGGCTTATAAGAAGATGCAGCTTCCTTGTATCGCAAAGCTAGTATATCTGTGAGCTTGTGGTGGAGTTTCGATGAAGCTCTATAAGTTCTTGAATAGCTGAAAAGGTATGCTTCTCGTGAAAGTGATGCGTATGCTTTAATGGGTAAGATTTATAAGAGCCATAACATTCATGAGAAGGCAATGCTTCATTTCGGTCTGGTGTAAATTGAACCTGAAAGTATACATGGTTTAGTAACGAAGTGGGGTTCTATGAAAATTATCTTTTTCTTATTTTATTTAGCAATTCATAGCATTGTCAAAGGTTGAACTTTCAATGTGAGAAACTCAGTGTATCATGTACTTTCCTCACAAATTGATTTCAATTGGATTCGATGCCTCATATTCATTTGTTATGGTGGTTCTTACTTGAACTATAGTATCTTGTTTTCATTGGTCTTAGACAGGCCATAACCTGAATCCTACACTATTCGTTCTTCTCTGTCAGCATGGAGTTCTGATGCGCTTTCTTATTTCTTTGTATTTAACAGGCTGCCACTGCGAAGCTGCATGTACCCGATGAAATAGAAGACAGATTTAAGATCTTTTCACTTTGGAAATTCAGAAGAAAAGAGAACACAAGTTATCCATCTCAGTGCTTGTGCTTTCGATCAATCGTGAATAAAATAGCTTGATACTGGACGCCTGTGTTTGGCATGAGGCAGCTCTTCCAGTTGGCAGGTCTTTTACTTACCTCAGTTTGTGGGTGAACATACTGACAGAAGGCTTGAGGTAAGTGCGGACGATGGTCCTATAAAATGCCATGCTTGTACCAATAGTTGTATAATCATGCCAAGTTGATATGGTTGTATCATTCATTTGTGCCCGTTTATAGTTGTTTCTTTCTTTCATTTCTTTCCTCCTCATGGTCCACCCATGTAATTGAAACTTAGTGCTGACTGGGGGATCCTGGCTCATATCGAATGATTTTGGTATTACAATCAGGTTAAAATGAATTAATTCTCAGCCCTTGTTCTGTCCGTTCTGAAAAGTCTTACTGCTTCTGAAATCTATGCATATTTCTGCATTGCATTTGCTCTCTGGATTTTTGGTGTAAGAGCTACAATAGAATTGCAATCTTATTGTTATACTAATAAAGAACATTGGTCCTCGAGTCCATTAACAAGAGCATATATACATCTTATTGTTGTACTAATAATGAACATTGGTCCTTTAGTCCATTAACAAGAACATATAGGAATTTAAGTGCGATACTTTGTGACTTTGATTATTGCTTGGTGAGATTGAGAGATTTCTTTTTCTTACTATTTTCATGAAAAGGTTGAGAGATTCTTCCATCTACTTTGCCTGTTGTTTGCAAAGCCATAATAGTGGGAGAAAATCGAACTACTGAAATTTGTTCTACTGAAAAACAAAAAACACGGAAAATAAAATTATTGTTCGGAAGAATTTGTAATATTAATTTGCAGTAGACATGAAGAATTATTAGAATACTCCTAATGTAATGCTGTCTCCCTCGCATAAAAATAAGATCCACTATACCTCTTATAGTCTCTTCTGATATATGTATATGCATGGAGTAAGACTTTAATCCTTTCCATTTCTGAACATTATAAGAGCTTTAATCCTAATCTTGATGCATCACTCATGTAAAAGTAGTATCGATGAGTAGTTATGATGATGGGTATTATTTTTATATGAACGTGAGCAATATATAGAGAGTATATCTAATAATTTCCTTAGTGCTTGCTGTGATTTCTTGAAGATATTATAATCATGGTATCTTCAGATTTACGATGTAATAAGATAAAATTGGTAATCACTAAAATTGTTTTTTCTAGGACTTAAATAATACATTTTTTTCTTTGGTAAGATAATTTTTATATATTAAAATTACAATTTCATTCTTCATATCAATAACAATCATAAAGTGTTAAGAAATGTATATAGGGTCAATAAATGCAGTGAAGAGTAGGATATCCTTCTAAGTTTAGACAGTCAACTGTCCTTATTAATTCTGCTACTAATTAGCTTCTTGATTTTAGGAATGTAAATAGGAAATTACATTGTATATGCTTTAATTTAGCAGCTGATTAGTCATTGTACGATATATATATATATTCTTCAACTATCAATGAAATAAACCAGAAAGTAATTCATCCATTTTTTTTCATGGTATCATTAAAGTAAACCAGGAATATTTCTTTCAAGGGTTAGGGAGTGGCAGCTCACGGCTGGCGGTTTGTGGATAGAGAGCGGTGGCTATCATGGTGATTTGGTGGTGGAGGAAGAATGAGGAGGGAAAAGAAGAAAGTACAAAATAATTTAATTTTTTTTAACCTTTATTTTTTCTGGTTATAAGATAAAAAGGATATATAACTTGACACGTGTCAATGTTCAATGTATAGTGGTGGGTTTTTTGGTCAACGAAAAATGATTTTGAGAATAAAAAGGAAAAAAAAGAAATGAATATTAAGACAAATAAAAGCAAAAAGAGAAATCAGTATAAAATTAAGAATAGTAGGACATATAAAAGCTTTTAACTGAAAGAAGATTTAAAGAAAAATTATCAATAAAACTAAAAGAAAACGCAAAACCACTGTAATAGATACTGTGGATTAACTATAGCAGTGTTTTTTTTTTCTTTCGTTTTGTTTTATAAATTTTTTTTTTTTTGGTCATTAAACCATTGTAGCAGTTACTGTGGATTAATTGTAGTGGTGTTTTTTTTTTTTTTTTCGTCTGCTTGTTGGAGCCATTGGCCAATGCCCTTTTTTGTTTGTTTGTTTGTTTTTATTTTTCTTCCGTTTGTTGTAGCCAAGGCATGGGGTTGGCTTTTACTAAACTTTATTTTTATTTTAATCCTTGTTTTGTAACCTTTTTTCTATTTTGGTCATTAAAATTTTATTATATTTGATTTTTATCCCTATAACAAATAATAAATTTTATTTTATTTTATTTTTTGTCCTTATAATAAATATTAAAATTTTATTATATTTGATTTTTAAATATTTTTTCTTGACTTTTAGTCAAAATTTATGTTCTTCTTAGGTTTCTATTTTATGATATGTTTTTATTTTGGTCATTAAAGTTTGATTATGTTTGATTTTTATCCTTACTATATTAAAATTAAATAAAGTTTCGAGTATCCTAAGTTTTTTTCTTTTTTTTTGGTGAAACTTTTTTTCTATTATAATTCCTATTTTGTGATTTTTTTCTTTGTTTTGACCAATAAATTTAGTAGAATTTTATTTTTGTTTTAGTTCCTATTTTGTAATTGTTTTTATTTTGATCATTAAATTTTTATTATATTTATTTTTTTTTCCTATAAGGAACTATTTTTTAATTTAGTAAATTTTTTTGTTATGTTTTGGATTTTATTTTGTGATCTTTCTTTTATTTTGATCATTGAAGTTTTATTATATTTTATTATTATTCTTTCTATACTAAAATTAAATACGGTTTTACTATTCTAAGTTTTTTTTTTTTTGCTTTTAGTAAAAACCATTTTTCGTTTTAGTTCTTATTTTGTAATTTTTGTTAGTGATTAAAATTCTATCATGTTTTACTTTTGTTCTCGCCTTATGCATAATGAATTTTTTTTATTCGTATTGTTTATAATTTTTTTTTTTGCTTTTAGTGAAAATTTGTTTATTTATTTTGATCCTTCTTTTATGAACTTTACTTTGTTTTGATTATTTAATTTTTATCATGTGTAATTTTATCTCTTTTTTTTTTTTTTTTGGATGATCTCTCTATCTCATTAGCAAATCATAGATCAAGAATATATGGTCAAAATTAATTATCTAAAATTTTAAAAAATACCACATTATTATTTTAGTTATCGGTTATTATACATATTTATAATAAAATACATATTTATGTGAAGCAATATTTAATTAACAACTTTATATTACTCAATTTTTCGGATTGTTTGTTTAGCTAACCCTACAACAAAATGAGATATATGTTTTAGTTATTTTTTTTGAATTTTTTTGTATGATCATTTTAATTAATTATTTTAAAATTTTATATTTTATATGATTGAACACATAAAAATGTTGTATAGCTCATTCCACAACAACGCACGGGATGTATGCTAGGTAATTCTAAATCTTAAACTTATTCCTCTGTGTTTACTTTTTTGACCTTAGACCACTCGCTTCCAAAGAACTTTTTCATGATAAATTTCCACACATTAATTATTCTAATACGTTCAACCGAGAGCAAAGTTAATTACCCTCCAAACTCCTCCTTAACTACCAACTTTTTATATATATATATATATATATATATATATATATATATATATATATATATATATATATATATACATATACGACTTACAACTACAATCACAATAAAATTACAATTAAAAGCCATAGTTTTTCTAAAAGGATTTACTATACAACACCTCTCTTAGGAGTATGATAGCTAATACCTTTCACAAACCTAAATAATTAATGCCCCAACCCTTTTTTACGTTGGAAATAATAAATATTTTTTAAAGTAGAACTAATTTGCAATCATTTACAGGGGAGATAGATGCATATGGCATTTACAAGAAGTTGGAAGCAACTATAGGAAGAG